TTTTTTTTTTTTTTGTTTTGGCTCTTGTCGCTGTAACCATTTTTAATCTTACTCCATCAACATTCAAATGTATAAGGGAAAACAGACGGTTTTATGTTAGTTAACGACTAAGCTTTCAGACAGCCATTTCGAGCCACCTGTTACTGCAGCATTTAACTTAGGATGGTTTAGTTGGCTTATGAGAATGACCAGCGCGATGTTTATATATATATATATATATAAAATTACAATATATAACAAAATTAATTAACTGATTACAGGGTATACAGTCGGGTGTCAACTATTGTTCGTCAATGATGTTGTTGTTTTTACCTTCACTGTTCCAGTGAGCTGTTGATGCGCTGCTATGACCTGATAAAAACTCATAAAGCCGTCAACCATGACACTGTATAACAGTGGAAAACAATAAGAAGCCGATGGAATTAGTGAATTTATTGCTTAGTATAACGGAGACAATTTGGTTTGTATTATTTGTCTTTTGTAGACGTGTTGACATTCTCACAGTTACAGTAATTAGAATTGCTGTGATGGTTATCAATGGTAACCGCCACAGAAGCAACACAAAATCGTCAAATTTTCTTATGATTAAATTAATCCCAATTAACATTGTTGCATAACCTTACGGTGACTGTAATTGATCGCTTGAATATCTGCAACTACTTGGAAAATATTTCAGGGTGCATCACAGATATTGTTTAATGGCGGCTGTTTGTTATAACATAGCTGTAAATAGGTTCGGTGACAATGACGTATTGGTGGAAGGCACAAAACTACTGCAGAATACCGATGGATAGGTGGTCCAAGTAACTGTTTTGTAGTGACCATTCTAAGGTTGTTTTGTCAGACGATTGTTAACAGTTAGGGAATATCAATATTCAAGTACTATTCAATTGCTAACGCTTCAGCAGCATAACTTTTCAGTCAAACTTTTTCGTGCAACCTTGTCTTTTCTTTTTTTTTTTCATTTCTTTCCGTTTCCTTTCCTCGATTCATTAAATTTCATTTGAGAACAATGTAAATTCGATAAGCAGTTAGTAGCAACTGTAACCCGAAGAACAGGTAGTACGTAAAAACTTGAAGAGACCCATCTGACTTATAAGTACCTCTTGTTTATCTGGTTGATTAATTTTTCAAGCGAACGAAGCTTATATTATTGTTGACACTGATGATATGTGATTTATAGTTAGGAGGAAGTTTCCAGTCTAATTACCATTTGTCGGCAATAAACAATTAACTGTCGACGAGCCTATTTCAGTGTATGAAATTACCTTTCTCAGTTAGTTAGATTTGTGAAGTTTGTTTGGAGATAAGAAAGTTTTTTTTTTGGTGCGGAACTAGCACTTACACTTATTATCAGCTGATTATCACTTCCTGCCTAATCTCGTCTCCTTTTTTTAAAAAAGATACTACTTTGTAGTGGTTTCGAAGGCCGTCTAAAACAGAAAATATGAGAAGCTGTTTGTCTTAGTTTTTCTTCTCTTCTCGCTGCAAAATTTGATTATTTCCCAGAACAAGTACTACTTATTTAAAAAAGAAATACATATATTACCGTTGAATAGTATGAAGATTTTTTGGTCTAAATGAATTTCATTTACCTGTTTAGCTAAAATATTATTACTAATTGTTTACTAAATGTTCTTATTGGGCTTGTTCCCTTAAGTAGATGAAAAGTTTATAGTAGTAGTGTAGAATTTTTAAAGACTCATCTTCACGTTCTTTAAAACTTAATGAATGAAGTTTAAGCACGTATCCATAATAAACTTTGAAAGTAAACTAACAGGGGGCTATCTTGATAGTACTGTTCATAGTTTTAGCGAAGCAGTTTTGGTACAGTCTAACAATATTTGAATTTTTGGATGTGCCACTGAATGTGCTTTTTTTTGCAGTATTAGCAAAAACAACGGCAGAGGCAATGCAGAACGAAGCGTAATTATCAAGCTCGTCTCCATTACTAAGTTCCCGTCTGAAACTCATTTTGCAAGTCACAGAATTTACAGGACGCAGGTACGAAAATTTTACGGCATGCATAATCCGGCAGGACGATAATGTAGGTAACTTTTAGCGACTTGATTTTATCATTGAAAGTTCCGTGGCACCTATTCTGGAACGGCTAGACTTGCAAATAACATAGTTGTTTAAGAGTAGTCTGAAAGCATTAGCTTTACGCAGAAAGGTAGTAACACAGAAACATGTTTTTACTTCTAAAAGAGTTTGATTAAAGTGTAGATAAAGCAGCAAACTTTTTTTCCAAGCTCCCATCTCTTATTTTTTCACTGTGTCCTGTGTCTTGGTCTAGGAAAAAAATTTCGTTTTCCAATATTTAGAGCAAAATTTTTGAACTACTTAGAGCAATGCTGAAAGCTTTTTTCTGTAGAAGGTAAATGTATGGCTTTTTATTGAGCACAGTAAATACATCATTATTGTTGTACCTAACAACTGCTTGTATATTACAATAATCGTTAACTTTTCCGTCTTTTATATTAGATACAAAACCTAATAGGGAAATTTGATTTGTTTTTGTTTAAAGAATTATTTTGCTGTAGTTTGTGGCTTATACTTGGTACAAAACTTTTCGAACACTGCATTTAGCTCTTCCGGTTCTTTGTATTCAAATACTTCCCAGTTGTCCGTGGAAACACCACGTACCATCGCCGATAAACCTAAAGGATCAGCAGCTTAGGAAACTGTAATTTCCATAAAAGTTATGCTATCAAACAATGCTGCAGCACTTTTTTCTTATAATCCTAAAAAAGAAGAACTTTACTAATGTAACGGATCAGCTGACGAAAACAAACCGATAACATTGGGATTTTGTCGGAACAAAGCTAACGTTGGAAGCCCAAGTTTGTATGCAACACCAAGTTCAAAGCCAACTCCAATTGATGGCACTGTACATTCCGCAATCACTACTATAAATATGCATAGTTCATGAAAATTTAACCGTGAAACTGTAGTTCTTTTATATGTCATGTCTTAATTGGCCAAATAGAATGTATCTCAAAAAGCAAAAAAAAAGCTTATTTTTAAGTTATATAAGATTCAGATTATGATATTTAAGCAGTTTTTGAAGTAGATTGGTGATATTTTGTGTCATTACTAGACAGATCGGTTTAATGACTGAATTAAATTTCAATTTTACTGCTGCCGCCTATTTGTATTTGATATTTTTTCACCCCTAAACACTGTATTTTAATACTTTTGAAGATCAGTAGCCTGACATCGTCATATGTAGAATACAGTTGCTTTAATTGCTGTCCTACGGTTCATTTATCATACGCCTTTCGTCACACTACTGTAGCGGATCAGGTAAGCTTTAAAAAACAGCTAACCGTCTGCTGAATGCAGCCATTCCATATCGGTTCTGTGTATCTCTTTGTCTTTCTCCAAGTCGCCTTGTCCTAATGAAAACTCTAAAATTGTCAATGGTAAAGTCGGAAAGGCTGTAAAATCGGTAATCTTCTTAAGCTATAATTCTTTCCTTTGCCTTTCCTACCAAGATCAAAATAGGGAAAAGGGGGAGGAATAAGAGAAGGAAATGTAATGCTCCTTCAAATTACTGCTTTTTCTCCCTCAGTTTTTTGCGCCTTGTAGTGATCCTCTACTTTTATCTCAGTATGAGGAGGAGCTATCACGTTCGTAAAAGGCTTAAAGAAATATTATAAACAATTATCATAATTCGGAGGAGAAACTGTATTATTTACTTTGCTGTAAAAAGACTGCTCTATATTCTGCATTGTTTGAATAAAATAAGAAATTTGAGCTTAACAGACCTTAAAACTCAGACCTAATTCAATCGGAAGAAAGAACAATAAAATATCTAGTAGCTGAGCACTCTAACTGTCAGCGCCCTGGACTTCATGCAAAATCATTAGCGAGTTGCAAAGGTTTGTGAAAAAGACTTCTGAAAGACTGAAGAAATGAAGTGAAGATAAACCATTCAAACAAGTGAAGAGGGAGTGTGTTGAAGGTTTCGAGTAAATTTTGAACATATCCTTACTTAAGAGAAACCTTTTATCAAGCTTTGTCCGACTACCATAAAGTATTAGAAGTCTCTTCTTAAAAGTGCCAAGCTGATACATGCAAACAAGTAGTTGAACATCAGTTAGACTGCTGGGTTCTTTTGCTATTATAAATTTTTGACAGCATGCAAGAAGAAGTTTATAGTTTGAAGAAGTTTCCCTAGATTGCCCTTTTGTAGAAAAAAGTGGAAAGCGTGATAACGAGTTGTTGGCTTCGTTAGATTACCGACTGGTCCTTAAGATCCGCCTCCCTCACTCCATCTCTTAACCTCCGCAATTTAACTGTGAACCACAACGCGTTACCTTTCCTTTTTTTTTTTAAATAATCCGTTGCTTATAAAGAGCACCCTAAAGCTGGACAGCTCTACATGGAAGTTAATAGAATACTGCTAACTTAATAATCCTGTTACTGTTTTAAC